GGCCTCTCCCTTGATGTTTTGAGGTGATTTGGAGCGCCATGGTGCGTACATGTCCTTGGGAAACCCTCCATTTCCTCTATTTTGTGCTTCGTTGCAGCTTGGTGTCACAGCACACCAGTGGCCGGTAGTGTGCCACCCTTGGCCAGCAATGGACCATCTTTGGCTGGCGGATTTCTTTTCCTAGCCGGCAGGCCACTAGTGACTTCCCCTTCAATGTTTTGGTAAGGTCCAGCAACAAGCACTGGAAGACACCCTGCAAATAGAGCCTCTAAAGAGCAACCGGAAGGCCGTTCGAGGCGGGGAACCAAAGCAAGCATACATACCCTCCTCTTCTTCAAATAGAGCTGGAACAGTATCGTTTACTGCTTTTCCTATTTGTTTGTTGTCTTTCATTTGTAGTTTAATTAATTAGTTAATTGATTAAGTTGTGTAATAATTAGTTGTAGCTAGTTATTCAATTTGGTTCTATAATAATTAATTAGCTTGTTAGTTAGTTAATTAGGTGGCTTGTATTATTTATTCGGACCCTCTGAGCGAGGGCGCAAATTGTAATAAGTGTGGGTATGTGTGTGCATGTCTTCCAACCCCATTTCTTCCTCACTTTTATTTAGCCGCTTACGATGGTTAGATTTAGGGCATATTTCGATTAGCATACCTTATGCTTGCATGTTTGCATCATTCATCTGTATTGCATGCACCGGGCTCGGTGCACCATACTAACTGCATAGTATTTAAATTTCAATTTGAATACATGTTATCTGTTGCATTTCACATGCCATCCATAGATTAGCCGAGCCTATTCTAGTTGCATTTTGCCTACGATGCAATTAGCCATTCTAACATGGACTTGGATCATACATTTGATTACTAACAAGTTCGTTGTTTTGGCTCGGAGTACACTGTAAGTATTTGTGCTTTAGCATCTCATATGAATGTGAATGTTAACATGACAGCTTGCTTACCATGTGGCTATGTGCTTAGTTGATATAACTGCTTGAATGCCTGTGGGTGAAGGTTGGATTATTTGAATTGGGGTAATTCATTGAAATCCACATTTTAGCCTACTTGCGAGTAGAAAACTTCAAACATTTCTAAACAAACGGATATGCAATGCTTTGTTCCAAATTAGGCGATCTAGCCTATACTTGTATGCTGTGCGCATCACATAGTAATTCTAGCTAATTAATCGGAATAAGAACGCATGTGTTTTCAAAAACGAGATATCATGGTTAGTGGAGGCCGATCTTCGGATCGGGCTAGAGGTGGTGCTCATAGCTGACTTTCCCCAATCGTACCCAAGTTCCCTAGCCGAGACAACTTTGGTGACGACAGACACGTGGCCTTAGGCAACGAGTCAGGGTTTTCTAAATTTTTCAAAATAAAATATTTAGGTGGCGACTCTGTATCTGGCAAAGCAGTCCATGTTTGGCACTTCTTTCAAAAAATTTGTTTTCAAAAACGATTTGCCGGATTTGGACTCTTTGATGATTCATCGGTCTTGCATTGCACTCTTTCGAGATTGGATACAGGACAGTGACTTTGAGTCCTGAACTGTAGTGAGCCCAATGAACAGAACGAGGGATTCCCTCCCGGGACGTTCGGGAACGTCTACAGAAATATAAAATACGGAACAAGTTTAGTGACGAATTTTTTCGTCATCTACACTTGTTATTATGACAAAGTGATTATTCGTCACTAATAAATATTTTTTGTGACAAAATTTATCGCAGCTTATATATGAAAGTTTTCATTGATTTTGTTGTTTGGTGATTAAAAATTTCGTCACGTGTATATATTTTTGTTACGAAATATATTTCGTCACCCATGTCTGACTTTTAGAGATGAAAAATTTCGTCAACTTTACATCTTATTGTGATGAAACTATTTTCTCATCAATGATCAACATGTGTGACAAATTTATTTGTCAACTAAAGTTATAAATATGGTATTGAATAACTATTTGGTGACGAAAATGAGGATTTTTTGTGACAAAATGTTGTCTTATTGGTGACAAAAATTTTCGTCACTAAATTAATTTCATTGGTGACGAAATTATTTTTCGCCACGATGCTTTTTAGTGACAAACATTCAACGACGAACCCAATGACGAAAATATTTCCTCGCAAATATCTATAGTGATGAAATTAGCTTTTGGAGACAAAAAAAATTCGTCATCCAAGACCCAACTTGTTGTAGTGAAATATAGATATTTCTTGTTTAAAATTTACTTTAGATTTTGGAATCTTTGCTTGAGATTGTTGTTGTTTGGTTGAGATTTGTTGAAATTTGTTTGATATTACTAGTAATTTTTTTGAAATTGGTTGTTGCTGTTGTTTCTGGTGAATTTGTTTAAAAAAAATAAAATTGTATGATGCCTTTATGTATTTAAGCAGAATTTAGGGGATAGTAGGATGCTTGATAGATTCATGAATGGAGTATACACTGAGTTTTTGATTGGTTTGTCAAACATGTGGATTGGCCATCTCATTTGCAAGCAAGTACACCCAATGCTTGTGATTTTTATCTCATACATGCAAGCATTTTCACATTTTATTGGAACTAAACCAATGTAGTTTGTTGGAGGGTCTGCAAAAAGATTAAATTACCTACATGAATTTAAGTCTATTGAACATATACAAACTGCCAAAACATAGGTGGTCACCCCAATCAGGAAGAGCTTTCATCAGTCCAATTGTTCAAGATAGAAGCAGGTGCACCCACTAGAGAAGACCACCCCATATATTTTTTCCTTTATGGCAGAACCAGTCCAAGTTTGTGCGAGAGCTTATTTAATCTATACTGAAATTACAAATAAATTTTCTTGTTTGCATTGCAAGATCTATGCTTTAAAATCCTTTTAACAACAAAGTTCATTCAAACAGTTTAACGACCGAAAAAAAAAAGAAGAAGAATACTATCTTCTTATTGACACTCTTCCATGACGAAAAAAAAAAAACATGTCTTTGGCCAGTTTCCTTGTACGAATTGCAACACCCCTCATCAATTTAAGTGATCTACTCACCTTCTTTTTCACTTGGAAAAGAAAAAGCACCAATAAACTTCAAAAACAAAACTATAAATATGACAAAGTTTTTGGGGCCTATACTTACCCACCCTTCTCGGCTTCTAGGCCCAAACCTCTTCTCATTAGCCATCATTGTAGCCAATGACCCCAAATCAAGGGAACCCTTTAGGTAACAGGCAAGGTCAATAATACCGTTAGCTTTTCATAAGCTTTAATTATCCTATGAGTGATGCTGTGCCCAAAATCCAAGTAACTAAGTTCATAAATTGATCTACAAAATGTTTTCCAAATTTGAATAAAGAAAAAATATCATTTCAAAGTTCAAATGTCAATGAAACAAATTTGCACTTGTACTATTTTTTAAGAAAAAAGAAAACCCGCCAATGTCATATTCCAAAGACAAATCTACTTCATGATGATTTCTTAGATTTTGAGGACTAACATCATTGAGAAGATCTGGTGTTGATTCAATTTTATGTTACCCACCTTGAAGCTCATTTCCCAATTTTGAAACCTTGGAACTAATTTTTAGGACTAGCATCCCAATTCGGGTAGTTTTAGAACTTGCAAATGAATCATCGAGCCTCTTCTTGTTCTTCTGAATGTGTTTTCCAATCATTGCTCGATACTGCTTCTTTGTAATATGCACATTGTAATTGCCGTTTTCGTCCTCATCATAACTATATGCTTAAATTATAATGAAGAAAAAGTTACAGACAGTGATGCTGCAACTCCATGGCTTAGTATAACAAGGGCAATATTGTCCTTTTATTTATTCAATATGGTGGAAAAACTGTTGTCCAATCATTCAGTCAATTTCTAAGTGTGTGTGCATTACTCTCTCTGTTAAAATGCATTGAAAAAAAAATGATTATTTCTCTTTTTAGTCATGAACACAGGGTTTAAGTGTTGCTTTTGAAGTTCAAAGAGTGTATGTGTTTTCAAGGTAAACCACATGGGAGTAAAGTGAAATTAACCCAAAAAGATTCTCCTAAGTTGCTTTATTTAAGGCTTCAGGTTTTCTTACTACCCCAATAAACATTCTTTCAAGTGGTCCTTGTACAATAGGACCAATTGACTGGAACAAATTAGTCATTAATCTTTGCAAATATCTGATTAGATTGACCACTTCTCTCATCTCATACATTAAATGGTGGTGCCTCACATTCTCATGTGATTAACTTGTACCTTAATGTTATGCAACATCTATAAGTTGTTGCTAGCGTTTCTCAATGTTTAATCTTCCTTGTATTTGTTGTTCCATCTATATGTTGAACATCCAGGGCGGATTATAATCCAGATTAGTATTTATGGGAAGAGGATTTTACTCTTACGGGCACAAAGTACAAAAGACAGGACCTTGAGGCAAGTATGGACATCCATTACCAAACTTTCAGCTTCCATTGCCACTACCTATTTGCAATACACATTTTGTTTCATATTTATTATGGTTTAAGCTTCGCAGACTATGTATTATTTCAAATTTGCAGCTAAGGAATCAAAGAGGCCACACCTTGTAGTGCAGTCATTATGTGGGTTCACCTTTCCCAGAGGACACTCCTCTACCTTGTGTTGTATACTGCCACGGAAACAGGTTTGTCACAATCTCAATTTCATCTTTTCAGATTATAAACCTCTCTCTCACTCAAACAAATCATTTTCATCTTTTCCGATTCCAAACCTCTCTCTGTCTCTATGCCTCTCTCTCCAAACCCTAACCTTAGTCTTCAACATATCCTTCGATCGGTCGGCACTGTCTCTATTCTTCGAGCTGTGACGAGTGATGAGCGGCGGCAATGGCGGCGAATGAGTTCAGTCTCAAATCCAAGTCTACAATCAATGTTGAGTTCGCTAGCAGAAGATCGAATGTTGATGGCAAAGTCATCAAAGCTCGGATTTCGAACACTATTGCTGGCCAAGAAAGGTAATTTTTAGTTTTAATTCATGATATGGGTTGGTTTCATTAGAATTTAATTGGTATGAAGAGATCTGAGGTGTAAGGAATATAAAAAAAGTCGCACTTTTTATTGGGGTTTTTCTCAGAAAATGCCTTTCAAAGTATTTTCTCGGGAAAATTAGCAGGTCGCACTTTTTCACTGCAGTGTTCTGGTCTTGGACTTACTGGGTCAATGGGATACCAGCTCGCAAGTTTGATAGCGGTAACCAATTTGTAAGATCAATAGCCTTCTAAGATGATTTGCTGGTGTTTTCATCTTTCTGTTTGATAATCTTGATGTGGTGATTTGATGAATTTTGCAGTTATATAAGCAATAATAATCTTGGAAACCAGATACCTTATCAGCTTCCTCCAAATTGCACGCAACTGTATGCTTAATACCTACTGATTTTTCCTTCTCTTCTATTTTAGTGCTTTAATTTCATTTATCAAAAAATAAAAATAAAAAATTGCACTTTTTAGTTTTCTTATGGTGGTTTCATCAGCAATCCTTTTATAATGTAGAAACCTTGCTGGAAATGGCTTCACTGGTGGCATCCCTTATTCAATATCTTAGATGACTTCCCTAAAATACCTGTTAGTCAAGCATCCGAAATTTGATTTTTATTGTTCATGTCAAAACTGTTTAAAACTGCACAATGAACCACTAGTTGTTACATTGTGCTTTGATTGTAGAAATGTTGGTCACAATCAACTTCAGGGCCAAGTAAATGACATGTTTGGTGAGCTTTCATCCCTCTCCACATTGTAAGTTTACCCCCCGTCACCTTTTTTCCTTGTGGAATTCTCTCAATTATGCATACCTTGACATACTTGAGGCGTTATCAGCAGCATTGTCTTTCATTATGATGTACAAGACTAAATGATTATAGTGTTCAGCCTTTTTTCAATTCTTAAACACTTTGGTAATCATTACTTTCCCTGCCACAGATAAGAAGCTTTATTTTGTGTTTTGTTTATTTTTTTGGGGCACAAATCAATATTGGTTGTTATAGCATTCTAAAGTATGTACTTTAGAAAATGTTACACGTGCTAACTAGCTCTTCAAAAGGTGGGGTGGGGTGGGGGAAGTAATTCAACCCCTTAAAACTTTTTTTTTTTGGGCCTTTTGTATTATGTAGTTTCCATGGATTGAACTAAGCATTACAGCTTTTTTGTCCATCCTGGATATTGCCTGCTAAGATTTCATAAACGGCTCATTGGGATAGATGTGGATGAATAAATAATACGCCCCATAGACACATGTAGGAAGTTTTCTCCCCATGCCTTTCTTTGTTCATGGTTCAATGTTCTAGTGTCCAAGGAGCCATTTTCAATATGTAGAATAGTAATAGGGTACCATGATTGTTTTTATGTACACTAAGGGGCTACAAGATATTAAATTACTTATTTCCCTGTTGAGGTATGTTCTATGGTAAAGCCTTCAACTTAACTTAAATGTAACATTTTTGCTCACAAACCTTGTGTACTCGGAAATAATTTGGTTGAACTAAAAAGACATAGAAAGTAATTAGCTGTTTTGATAGGAGCTATTTAGGTGAAGAAAGACATGATTAATCGTGTTGAACCTATAATTGTGTGCTTTGACTTGTTCATTTGAGTTCTTGTTTGTATAAGAGTGGCAACCCCTCCGATGTTGTTTCTTTAATCAATTATTATTTATCAAAGAAAAAAAATTGAATTTTTATTTGAAGACATATTTCCACTTGCTTTTAGTAGAAAAATTAGGATTTTTGTACAAGCTACATCCATGAAGAATAGCACTATGATGTTTCTGACTTCAACTCAGTAGTTATGAACTGCACTATGACGTTTGTGACTTTGGCTGAAGTTTTTAGAACTCCAAACTAAGGGTGGTTTGGGTATGCCTTATTTAGTGACTTATTGGCTTTTTACAAAAATACATGCACAAAAGTAAAGAATTGATGTGATAACTTGTAGTAAATAAGCCAATAAACAACTTATTTAGGTGGTACCCAAAATAGTTAAGACTTCTTGGCTGTTGGAAATTGGAATATGTATATAGTGTTGAGCTTCCCCTTGCACTGCTATTTTTGGGGTCCTTTACTTATTTTAGATCTCTAAATTCTTATTGATTTTGTTTTTTGGACAGACATATATATATATATATGGCAGTGTAATGAACTTTAGTTAGTATTGGCATAGCTGAATGTTAACCATAGCATGACTTCCCTCCTTGTGTAGCAGGTTCTCTCTCCTCCTTTGTTTCTTTCCATTATTTTCCCCTCATTTCTCTTTTCTGTACTCTATTTACTTACTCTTCGTTTCTTCTTCTCCCTCTCTGGTTCTTCTTTGTATTTCTTCTCTACTGCTTCTGCTTCTGCTTATATTTCCCTTCTCTATTTCCCCTTCATCCCCGATATAAGGTAACCTTTATTGCCTTTCAATTTTTTACAAGTTGTTTTTCTTTGTATGTTTTTCCTTGCAGGTTGTTTTATATTATTGCATGATGCTACTTTTTCAATTTTATCAAGGTTTCTTGTTTTTGATGATGTAGTTTCAGTTGAGCACGATCTAAATAGCCAATTTGTAGCCATAACATCTAAATTCAAACTTGACCACCAATTTAGTATACTAGCCTATTGCGTCCAAGGAACTTTTTTTTTTCTTCATCAAAATGGCTGAAATGTTTCTGTTTCCTAAGAAACCAACTTGAAACATGAGTGCAACTATGAAATTCTAACTTTTCCATTAAAGCATAACAAAACATCAATTTTTTTTTTAAAAAATATCTTAGAGATCAAGCAGTAGATCATTCAGGAGAGATAAATACTATATGTTAGAAAGTTTCCTGTTTTTGTTCCTAACATAAAGTTTGACTATAGTGATGGATCGGTACACATCATTGGTATAATGATTTCATTAATAACATCTTAATTGTTCTCAATTTAGTTGCCTTAAAACACCTGCCAACCAGACGGACGGACGGCGGCGGCAGCGCGCGTGTGTGGTGATTTTTGGGTCTAATGGGTCTAGCTCATTTTGCCCATAACCTCCCTCTCTAAAACACTTGGATACCCATTGGGGGCACACCACAAGTTCCAATCCCATGCCTTATAAACCCATTCAAAACTTCCCACCAAATCAACATGGGACAAGCCTTCTTCAAACCTTAAGGAATTTCCACCAAAACTATTTCCATGGAGCATGCTTTGGATTCAATTTTCCATTCACTCGATAATGGTTTTGAGTAACCAAATATACCACGTGAATCACAACATGGCATAGAACGCGTTACCACTTAGACCCGCGAAAAACGACGCTCAGGTCCCACCTAAATATTAGACCAAAGTTAGGAAAAAATCTGTTTTTTACCCAGATTTTCCAAACCATTTCCAATAATCCCCCATATGAATGGAATTTGACAACAACAAAAATGCAACAATATGCAGACTTTATCGAAGGAGTATAAGTCGAAAATATCTTGTATCAGAATAAGTAGCTTTCGGCCTTGAACCTTCCCTAGTAATAACCTATCGGACTTACTAGCTAACCAATGGGCGCGATGCCTTGAATTGTTCAGCCGTTTGTGTAAGCCAAGACAATAGATTTCACACAAAATATCTTCTAACACATCGTGGTTTTCGCTGTTGTGTTCATTTTGGCCTTGAACGCTCCTGGTTTTCATGAGTGTTTCTAGAGAATTTAGCTTTTTTCATTCTCATAGAACTGGCCCCAGTTCGACACTCATATAGGTGAGTCTTATTGTGAGTATCTCCTTATACTCGTCTTGATTTTATGCCGCAATCAAGATATAAGTAATCATTAAAAGCAAAGCTTATCCTTATACTCCTGCATACAACATATGTTGCAGATATCATTCTCACCATATGAATGGGTAAGGAATTTTAATCCTTTGGTGATTTCTGGCGAGCCACACATAACTTAGTTGTCCCTTTGAACTTAGTTCTTGGGATCTCCAGTCATATAAGTAGGGTTACCATTATGATGACGCTTATGTAATAGGCTTTAATCTCATCCCCTTCGATGAACTATACACTAGCTCTTTTGTCAAACCTTTTGTTAACGGATCCGCAATATTCTCTTTAGATTTTATATAATCTATTAAGACTATTCCATTTGACAACAATTGCCTTACGGTATTATGTCGACGACGAATATGTCGTGACTTACTGTTATACATATGATTTTGTGCCCTGCCTATTGCAGATTGACTATCACAATAAATGCAAATATCTGGCACAGGTTTTGGCCACATTGAAATGTCTTCTAAGAAATGACGAAGCCATTCTGCTTCTTCTCCTGCTTTGTCTAAAGCAATTGTGTTTGATTTTCATTAGTCTCTTGACTTTGTGTACAATCATAAGTTCTCTTCTGTGAACTTAATTCCTGTCCTTTCTTGTAAGGAAAGACATGTTCAAAAAACACAACATTCCTTGACTCTATAATAGTGTTCACATTTATATCAGGTATCTCTGATTTATAAGTCAAAAACCGATATGCACTACTATTCTAAGCATAACCAGTAAACACACAATCTACTGTTTTTGGTCCAATCTTAGTCTTTTTAGGAATAGGAACTTCAACTTTTGCCAAACACACCCACACTTTTAAGTATTTGTAGAAAGGCAGTCGACCTTTTCACAATTCATAAGGAGTGTTGTTGGTTTTCTTGTAGAGTATTCTATTAAGAACATAATTAGCAGACAATATTGCTTCCCCCCACAAGTTTTGTGGTAAGCCTGAACTTAGTAACATGGCATTCATCATTTCTTTTAGGGTTCTATTCTTCCTTTCAGCAATTCCATTTTGCTGTGGAGAATAAGGTGCATTAGTTTGGTGAATAATGCAATGTTGTACACAAAATTCATTTAATGGTGCATCATATTCACCACCCCTATCACTTCTACCCATTTTAATGGTTTTACCAAGTTGATTTTCAACTTCTGTTTTGTAGAGTTTAAACATTTCTAAGGCTTCATCTTTACTTCTAAGTAAATAAACATAACAATATCTTGTGCAATCATCGATAAATGTTATAAAATACTTTTTGCCTCCTCTAGTTTGAATAAATTTAAGAATACATACATTTGTATGAATTAATTCTAGAGGTTCGGTTTTCCTTTCAACTGATTTAAATGGAGCCTTAATTAGTTTCGCTTCTACACAAATTTCAGATTTCTGATTAGGATTAATTTCAAACTTTGGTATATAATCTAAATCAATTAATCTACGCAAAGCATCAAAATTCATGTCTTAATCTACCATGCCATAAATTCGATTCAAGAATATAAGCAAAAGATGTGTTATTCTTATTCATAGCAACTTTCGATACAACTGTCATTACATTCAACCTAAAGAGACCATCACTCACGTATCCCTTACCAACATACATACTACTCTTTGTTAATACAAATTTATCATACTCAAAAACAAGCCTTAAACCATTTTTACTTAACAAAGGACCAGAAACTAAATTCTTCCGGATGTCAGGTACATGCAGTACGTTGTTGATGGTCAGTTCTTTCCCTGATGCCATCTTCAAGATCACTTTCCCTTGTCCAGCCACAGTAGAAGTAGAAGAATATCCCATGAAAAGTTGTTCCCCATTTGCAGCCTTTTTATAGGTAGTGA